CTCTCTCTCTCTCTCTCTCTCTCTCTCTCTGTCCCATTCTCATTTTACAGGAATTAAATCAGGCTAGTTTACTTGGAAAAAATGCCAATGATTGTGTAGCTAAGAAAATGTGACACATTCATTCAGATCTTTTTAGATTTCAATTAAACAAAGCAAGTTGATTACACTGGTTCTAAACCTTGTTATTGTACTGTACTATTATCAAAGAGCTAAAATTGTAAGTACATCATTTCAGTAGAAATTAAAAGACATCACTTATTGTTGTAGCCCTCAAAAATCAGCAAATGTAAAATGACACAGGACTAAAAATTTCAAAATAAGTACAAGACCAAACTCTGGATAATAAAGACACAAAATTGTATTTCCAGATGATGTTTTTATTTCTTATGTTTGGTTTTCTATAAAGCTATGTTTGTCTCACTATTAGGACATATTCTTTTTCTAAAACCAGTTGTGGTAGGCCCTTCTCAGAAGCAGCCTGCATCAGAATACCAAGTCATCTCAACTTTTAGACAATTCTTTGAATCTGAAAATAACACTCTTGAAAACAAAATGTAGGTACCTTTTTCACTGGTGTCAAGAGCATCATCTTCAAGGTCATCATCAAAAATCTCTCGGCCATCTTCCACATAGCCAATGCCATCTGTAGGAATAAAATATAACAGGATCAAGTTTCTAAATATGGCCAAGATCTAAGAGTGGTGATACTTAAAATTCTACCATTCTACCAGGAGGCTGGGGTAGGAGGACCAAAAGTTGAAAGCCAGCCAGGTATCAGTGGCCTACGCTTATAATCCTAGCTTTGCAGGATTCTGATATCTGATGGTCCCAGTTCAAAGCCAACCCAAGCAGGAAAGCCCGTGAGATTCTTATCTCCAATAACTACCAAAATGCTGGAAACGGCATTGTGGTTCAAAGTGGTAGAGCACCAGCCTTGAGCACAAAAGCTCAGGAACAGTGTCTAGGCCCTAAATTTAAGCCCTAGAATGAGCACACACACATACACATACACAAAAAAAGTTCAAAGCCAGACTTGGCTACACACTGAAATACTGTCACTCAACCTTTCACTCACTCAACTGGCCAAAATTTTTTCATACCTATTCAGATGTTCTCCTGGCATGCTCCATTTTTAAGTTTAACAGAATCTTGTTCAAATAGGTATTAGACAAGCAATAGCATCCACTCAACAGATGTGAAGTCAAAGAAAGGACAAAAGCAAACCAGGGGATGGTGGCTCTTGCCTGTAATCCCATCTACTCAGGAGACGGAGAGATCTAAGGATAAATGTTCAAAGACAGCCTGGGCAGAAAAATTGGTGATACTCTTGTCTCCAATTAACAAGCAAAAAGCTGGAAAAAATAGGTGTGGCTCAAGTGGTGGAGCACCAGCCTTGAGCAAAAAAATCAAGTGAGAGTGTGAGGCTCTGAGCTGAAGCCCCACTACTAGCACACAAAAAAAGGACAAAACAAAGGATATATATATACTGAATATAGGTAGGTGAACTATATAGCTAAGGAACTACATAGCTAGGGAAATGACTTGGCCAATAAGATAAAAAAAAAAAAAATACTTCGCCACCAAAGGTTCTCTGATGGCAGTTTTACTCTACAAAAAGAATCAAAGCTGGGTGCCGGTGCTCACACCTGTAATTCTAGCTACTCAGGAGGCTGAGATCTGAGGATCGCGGTTCAAAGCCAGCCCAGGCAGGAAAGTCCACGAGACACTCATCTCCAATAGAATCACTAGAAAACCAGAAATGGTGCTGTGGCTCAAGTGGTAGAGCACTCCCCTTGAGCTGAAGAGTATAGGGACAGCGCCCAAGCCCAGAGTTCAAGCCCCATAACCGACAACAACAACAACAAAAAAAAAGAATCAAAAATACAACAAGCCCAGGAAGAAACCCTAATCTACAAATGAAAACCAACAATTTAGCTAAGTCTAGTAGCAGCACAGTCTGCATCCCATTCTGTGGTCAGTACTCACATGCCAAAGAACTCAGACCCTACAAGCAGTAACCAGTGAGCTATATACAACAACACCAAAGCCAGCCTTTGCACAGTGCTTTCTACTCACACCTACCCCATATATTCTTCACAGTGCTTTCTACTCACACTTACAACCCTGTGTACTCCTCACAGGAACTCTAGGACATAGTTTTATCTCCACATTACATGGGGAAAGCATGTGGCTCAGTGATAGTAACTGATTTGTCCAAGGAAAAGTGCAAACGATAGAACTTGAACTTACATCCCTTCATTCCAGATACTGTTGGGCTGTGTATGGGCCCCACAGACACATTTGCTCCTGATCAGTTTTGTATTTGTTTTTGTTTTTGCTAGTCCTAGGGCCTGAACTCAGGCCCTGGATACTGTCCCTGAGTTTCTTTTGCTCAAGGCTAGCAACTCTACCACCACTTGAGCCACAGAACCACTTCCAGCTTTTTCTGTAGTACTGAGGAATGGAACCCAGGGCTTCATGTATGCTAGGCAAGTACTCTGCCAGTAAGCCACATTCCCAGGCCTCCTAATCCATTTTGTTGCTGTTGTCAGGGATTTGATCCTGGGTCTCAAACATTCTCTCAATTCCTTTACAGCCATTTTCTGGAGTACTGATACTACATATCATGCCTAGATCCTCCAAAGTGTTAACTAGTCAACTTCCTCTTGTTCTGCTTCCTTATCCTCAAATAACTAAGAAAATCCAAACCAAAATATGCTCCTAACAATGCACTGCATATACCTAAACAAAGCGGCAACCTCACCACATTGAACTCAAGAAGCAACTAATACAATGCCTGCCGGGTGTTTTCTTCCCACATACCATCATCCACGATCCAGTCATCATCCTGGCGTGCCTGAACCAGCTTTGAATACTGTTCTTCATCAACTTCTTCATAAACACTTGTGAAGTCCTCGACCTGCCATTATACAAGTTTGAGAAAAAGCTTCAAATGAAGTGAAAGTGTTAAACAATTCTGATGAAAAAAAAAAAATGTCAAATTGAAACTGGAATGGCAGCCTGACGGAATAGCTGCAACCAAATCATGAGTTCTGACATTCAACACCACCACAGGGTTTTCCTTAAATAGACATCAATTAACTTAGTATTCCTTTTAGGTGGGTGTTAACATAAGATATTAAATGATTCCATTAGCATAATACACTTGTCACACCATCAATTACTCATCTACTTCATAAAAAACAAACTGAATTATAGCCAATTCTTCATTAGCTGCTTTGGGGATTATTCACTTGTGATTTCTAGACTGATTTCTCCTATACTTAGCAAACCTGAAAGGCATACCACACCCTTCCCCACTAACTGATGGATGAGCTGCAAGTACACAATAATCTTAATAACTCAACTAAAATTCAAAGGAAACTTTCCCTCATTCATATCCCTACAAATATTAGCAAAACAAGCATATTCTGTATTCTACAAGCCATCAAGAAATGGAGTTTTAGGGATCCCCATCATTCTCAGGTTTTAGATGTACACAGGAGCCAGGTGCCAGGAGCTCACTCCCATAATTCTAGCTACTCAGGAAGCTAAGATGGGGATAGCATTTAGAAGAAAGCCAGTGCAGGAAAGGCCCTGAGACTCAGGGCCAGAAGTGGAACTGGGGCTCAAAGTGGTAGAGTGCTAGCCTTGAGCAAAAGAAGCTCACAGACAGGCCCTCAGTTCAAACCCCAGGACTAGCAAAAAAAAAAATGCACAGGGAGGAACTTTAACGCAGAGCTATTTGAAAGACCAGAAGCAAGCCCTCCAATCCCAAGGCTGCCAGGTATGAATAAAAAAGCAGACCACCTCTGCAGTTAAAGTCACAAATGGAACAGATGCACACCAATGCTACAGCTGTACATGGTGACACATCACAGACTTCCCAGATGAAAAGATGATGTGACAGTTAGCAAGAGCCCATAGACATCTGATTAAAATCCCTCAATTTCTTTTGAGCAGGGACAGGAGGGGGAAACTGGGGAAAGCAAAGGAAGAGGTGGCATTGTCCAAAAGAGAAATGTAAACAATTACCTGAATTGTGAAATGGTAATCCCTCTGTACAACACCTTAATAATAACAATAAAATTGGGGGCTGGGAAGGTGGCTCAGTGGTAGAGCGCTTGCCTCGCATGCCTGAGGCCCTGGGTTCGATTCCTCAGCACCACATAAGCAAAAAGAAAAAAAGCCGGAAGTGGCGCTATGGTTCAACTGGTAGAGGGCTAGCCTTGAGCTGAAGAGCTGAGGGACAGCACCCAGGCCCAGAGTTCAAGCCCCATGACCGGACACAAAAATAAAAAATAACAATAAAATTATGTTTTTAAAGATAATAAACTTAAAATGTGGAAAGGTTAAATGAAATGTCCCAGTTTCTGAAGAGTTCTGACTTTTTCAAATGAGGTATGGAAAGAAACAACTAATTCTACCTGAAGCACTAAGACAAAAAACAGCTTCCAACTGTGGGAAGACCACTAGGTTTCTACCATACCTACCAAGCTTTTGTTTTCAACTCTTTTTTTACTTGTTCTACAGGTATCACTGGCAAATGCTGATGTGTTCTTTTACTACTGAATAATACAAGCTACTTACCCTACCATATTAAATAAAGAGCGGTTTGGGGTTTAAGGGGGTTATTGTCACTTTTTGTAGCACTCGGACTCAAACCTTAGGGCACCGCACATGCTCAGCAAGTACTCTACCACTAAGCTATATCCTCAGGCTGCAAATTAAGTTTTTAATAATCCAGAAACAAAGAAGTCCAATTAATAATGATTATGCTGACGAATTTTCTTGGAAGGGTAGCACAGTTATTTTATTAGTTGAAGACATAGCTTGTCTTTTACTTAAGAAATTTACTTAAATACCACCAAGACATCATGGAACATTTTTAGAAAGTGATTTTGAGCCAGACACTGATGGCTCATGCCTGAAATCCTAGCTACTCAGGAGGCTGAGATCTGAGGATCGTGGTTCAAAGCCAACCTGGGCAGAAAAGTCCTGTGAGACTCTTATCTCCAATAAACCACTCAAAACCCAGAAGTGGTGCTATGGCTTAAATGGTAGAGCACTAGCCTTGAGCACAAAGAGGTTGTGGCAGTGTCCAGGCCCTGAGTTCAAGCCCCACAACTGACAAAAAAAAAGAAAATTATTTTAACTGTTATATTTTAGCTGTGCTGGGGTTGGAACCCAGGACTTTGCACATACAAAGAGAGCCCTCTACCACTGAGTTACATCTCCAGCCTAACATCTGGGCACTCTCCCTGAGCTGCTTCTGCTCAAAGCTAGTGCTCTACCACTTGAACCACAGTACCATTTCTGGAATTCTGAGTGGTTAATTGGACATAAGAGTCTCATGGACTGGGGCTAGGAAGGTGGCTCAGGTGGTAGAGTGCTTGCCTTGCATGCACGAGGCCCTCGGTTCAGTTCCTCAGCACTACATAAGGAGAAAAAGCCAGAAGTGGGCTGAGGCTCAAGTGGTAGAGCACTAGTCTACAGCTGAAGAGCTGAGGGACAGCACCCAGACCCAGAGTTCAGGTCCCATGACCGACAAAAAAAAAGTCTCACGGACTTTCCTGCCTAGGCTGGCTTTGAACCACGATCCTCAGATCTCAGATTCCTGAATAGCTAGTATTACAGGTGTGAGGCACTGTCGCCCAGCGAATGTTCTTTTTAAAAAGTATAATTTGTAAGCTGGGTGCTACTCACGAGGCTGAAGTTTGAGGATCATAGTTCAAAAGTAGCCCAGGAAGCAAACTCAGTAAGACTCTTATTTCCAATAAACTACTCAAAAAAAAAAAAAAACCCTCAGAAGTGGCACCATGGTCCAAGTGGTAGAGTGCTAGCCTCGAGCAGAAGCAGCTAAAGAGCTCAGGGACAGCACCCAGGCCCAGAGTTCAAGCCCCTAAACCAACCAAAAATAAATAAATAATTAAAAGAAAGTTGCTAGGGCTAGGGGCATGGCTTGAGTGGTAGATAAACCCGTTTAGCAAGCTAAGGCCAACTTCAATCCTTAGTACTGCAAATTTAAAAAAAAACTTGCCATTGCTCACCATGAATTCCTAGAGCAATATAATTAATACTGCAGAGTACAAAGGGAAATTAGCCACATTTTGCCAACATTTCAAATGCCCCCACAGAATTCCTTTATAGAAGTACCTACATTAAAAAAAAATGTTTTATTCCTGCTTCACTGTAATCCTTTTAGCAACCCGTTATGATCTGGTTGTCTCACTTAACTTAAATGAATGGTGCCAAATGGCAAAAAATCCCCTTCTATTTTTCTAATTGCCCTATACAGTACAGGCCATGGCTAAACATGAATATTCCAAAGCCAAATTGCCTAGGTTCAAATAAAGGTTCTGCCACCATATCACTAAAACTTCCTGTGCTCAAATCTATCTAACCTGCCAAATGTTGATAACCATACTACCTAATTTCATATGGTTATTGGAAGGATTAAAATGACTAAACATATTGGTAAAAGCACTTAGAACAGTGTGTTAGCCCAAAAAGTATATTAGTTATTATTTTCTAGTCTTTAGTTAATCACTTGATAGCCTTGGCAGTTAAGATTCTCAAGGAACACTCAAGATGAAACTGTTATGTTGATGGTGGCAACTCTGGTTTTTATAGATGGGCCATAAACAGTGAGTAGAAGAAAATGGCCCAAAAAGCATCAGATCTAATCTTCTAAGCAGGATGTGGAAGAAGTAAGACCCAAGTCTCCATTGCCACTCCCCTTACAAATAAGATTAGAAAGAACAATTCTATTTAAGAAAGTGTTTAGAGCTGCAAATGTAGCTTAGTGGTTGAGTGCTTGCCCAGCATGCATGAAGCCCTGGGTTCCATTCCTCAGTACCACATACGCAGAACAAGCCAGAGGGGGCACTGTGGCTCAAGTGGTAGAGTGGTAGCCTTGAGCAAAAGAAGCTCAGTAACAGTGCCCAGGCCCTAAGTTCAAGTCCCAGGGCTGGCAAAAATAAAAATTAAAAAAAACAAAAGTATTTAGCCTCACTGCTTAATACCTTAAGGGTAAAATAAAAGCACTTATAAATTTCTCCACTAAAGCCACAGGACTTACCAGAGATGTAACACGCTAAATAAAGCAAAAATAGAATTACTTTCATTTTGGAATTTTAAAATCTTCTATCTGTAAAGTACCTTGTAGGAACTTCACAGGACCTAGCACTGTCCATAATTTGTAAATCTATCTCATGCTCACATTTGGTCAATATTAAAGAAATACTATTAGCTAGGCACCAGTGGCTCACACCAATCTCAGGAGGCTGAGATCTGAGAATCACAGTTCAAAGCCAGCCAGGGCAGGAAAGTTCTTGAGACTCTTATCTCCAATTAACCACCAGAAAACCAGAAGTGGCGCTGTGGCTCAAGTGGTAGAGTGCTCACCTTGAGCTGAAGAGCTCAGGGACAGCTCAGGCCCAGAGTTCAAGCCCCACAACCAACAAAAAAAAAAGAAAAAGAAAAAAAGTAAAGAAACTACTATTATTTTAAAAAACTTAAAACATGATTGTTTTTAATCAGTGACAAAGTTGACATAAGATTATTTGCAATCTGTGAATTAAATAAAGCATAAGAGAAATTTTAAAAAGGGGTTACTTACTTCATATTTATACTTCTCACCAGCTTTAGCCTTTTTCAGTCTTTCTAGAGCTTCCTGGCGCCCTTTCTTTGATTTTTTTTCTCTCCGGGCACGAGAGGCTACAAGACTCCCGGAATCTTCTGACACAGCTGGAAAGAAAATCCAGGTTTACATGAGATGCTACAAAACTGTCAGCCATCTTCCCTCAAAAACAAACATTTGTAGACAATAATAATACACAATGTTTATATTATACAAATGGATCCTTTTAAAAATGCAAAGTGAAGCCAGGCCGTGGCTCACGCCTGTAATCCTAGTTACTCAAGAGGCTGAGATCTGAGGATTGCGGTTCAGCGTCAGCCTGGGCAGGATAGTCCGTGAAACTCTTATCTCCAATAAACCACCTGAAAACCAGAAGTGGCGCTGTAGCTCAAGTGGTAGAGCGCTCGCCTTGAGCTGAAGAGCTGAGGGACAGCGCCCAAGCCCAGAGCTCAAGCCCCACAACCGAAAAAAAAAAAAATGCAAAGTGAGTCACAAAGCTCATGGCCAAGTATGCAGATCTTATGGCTCTTCAGAAAGGTTCTCTAAGACTGAAGCCACCATTATTTTTTCCTCTAAAAACAAGAAATGTTAAATTCAACTGCTAGCCCCACAAAAATATTAGAGAAGAGAAACCAATCATTAGCTTGTCTATAACCTTCCCATTTGAAATGACAGGTCACAAGTAATCTGGAAGGTCATGTTCTATTAACACTAAAAAGGATTTAAGAAGCATCTGCTCTTTGAAAAGTCCTAGATGATAAAAGGAATATAAAGATTAAAAAGGCATAGTCCCTATACTCAAGAAAACTTACACTCTAATAACGGGATAATAATAAGTAACAACTGGCTCTAAAACAATATTTATTGAGAAGTAACATATGTCTTAACGGAGGTTTAGAGTACATGAATTACAAAGAAGAACTAGGAACTGGGATTTTTTTGCTTTTTGGTTGGTCCTGGGGCTTGAAAGAGGGCCTGGGCACAGGTCCCTCAGCTCTTCAGCTCAAAGCTAGTGCTCTACCACTTGAGCCACAGCACCACTTCTGGTTTTCTGGTGATTTGTTGGAAATAATAGTCTCAGGGTTTTTCCTGCCTGGGCTGGCTTTGAACCGTGATCCTCAGATCTCCGCCTCTGAATAGCTAGGATTACAAGTATGAGCCACAGGCACCCAGCTAGGAACTGGGAAATTTTTAAACGATGGCAGTGGGAAGCGTTCATTCTGTCACTGATTCCAAGGCCTGTCAGGTACATTTATTGGGTGATAGTAAGAAAAAATTACAAAGACTAAGGCAAGTGGTTTATGTCTATGATCCCAGCTACTCAGGTGAAGATTGGGAAGATCATGGCTTGACATCAGCTCAGGTAAAAAGTTACCAAGGTAGCAAGCCCTATTTCAGCTGATAAGGTGAGGTCATTCATGCCACCAAGGAAGCATAAGAATCACAGTCCAGAGCTGGGAAGGTGGCTCGGTGATAGTGTTTGCCTTGGTGATAGAGTGTTTGCCTTGCATGCATGAGGCCCTGGGTTCAATTGCTCAGCACCACATAAGCAGAAAAAGCTGGAAGTGGCGCTGTGGCTCAAGTGGTAGTGTGCTGGCCTTGAGCTGAAAAGCTGAGGGACAGCGACCAAGCCCAGAGTTCAGGTTCCCCTACCCCCACCCCGGGGCCCCACCACAACCGACAAAAAAAATGAATCACATTCCGAGCAAACGTAGGCAAAAACACAAGAGATCCTATGTTTCAAATGGCAAGGCCATGAGTTCAAACCCCAGTAATACTAGAAACAAAAATTTACAAAGGAGGCTGGGAAGGTGGCTCAGTGGTAGAGCGCTTGCCTTGCAGGCATAAGGCCCTGGGTTGGATTCCTCAGCACCACATAAGCAGAAAAAAAAAAAGCTGGAAGTGGCACTATGGCTCAAGTGGTAGAGTGCTCACCTTGAGCTGAAGAGCTGAGGGACAGTGCCCAGGCCCAGAGTTCAGTCCCCACAACCGGACCCAAAAAAAAAAAATTTTACAAAGGTTACAAAGCCTTTTGTCAAAACTATGGAAACACCAGAGGGTCTCAATAATCATTTATTCAACTCTTGAACCATCCATGCATTGGTCATTATAAACTGGCCACCCCACACACATAACTGAAAAGAATTTATCCACAGAATCAGTAATCAAGTCAAGATGACAGTGCTGCCTAATAGCCATGAGTTTGGTGAGGCCTAGCACAACTGCCAATTTATATGTAATTAAGTATGCTGCTGTATTCAGTACTAATTAATTTACTTAAAAGAGAAGGTACAGAAAAGAAGGCAGATTGATAATAAGCATCCTAAATTTCACCTGCACTGGAACATTCCTAATAGTGTCAGATTTTTAAATTAACGGTTTGACTGAAATAGAAGATACAATTTAGAGAACATAGAGAACATGTATCAAATGCTGGCAATAAACCCTTGAAAACTGTATCTCAAAGGTGAAGTATAATTAGAGATCTTATTTTTTCTGTCTATTGTTTGACTTTCACATTTGACTTTTAAATCCATTTTCAGAAAGACATTAAAGTAAAAATTAAGGAATGCAGGTACTTAAGGATGACAGTCATAAAATCTTGGGTGTCATTCAAATTATTTAAAAAATCTGGAGAAGTCCTACATGAAAAATTCTTCGAGAGTGTTAAACATGACCAGTGAGAGTGAAAAGCTAGACTAAGCCTATTCCCTTAAGAATTCCTTGACTCCTGATAAAATCTCTGGTATTCTGTATTAGAGTGCACTTACCCACAGGCAACAACGTTTTACAATACAGAGTTTACATACAAATAACGTAGGGATGCCTGTCTCAAGGGGATACACAGTAAAACAAAGCAAAAAGGCCTGAAACTAGTAGATAACATAAATATGGTGCCACAGAAGAGGTAAGATCATAATAGGAGGAAATGCCCAGAAGATGGCCATTCATTTTGCCACAGAAATCAGGTTTTCACAATGGAGTTCTCCAATAGCAGTCTGAAAAGAGTAGAACTTCAAAATGAGAAGACAGGATAAACAGTGCCACAAGCCGAGAAAGAGGGATAAGTCAAATTACAAATCATGAAAATACAAGTATTTGTTTTTTTGTTTTTTTGGGTCCAGTTGTGGGGCCTGAACTCTGGGCCTGGGCACTGTCCCTCAGCTCTTCAGCTCAAGGCTAGTGCTCTACCACTTGAGCCACAGCACCACTTCCGGTTTTTTTCTTTTTGCTTATGTGGTGCTGGGGAATCGAACCCAGGGCCTCATGCATGCAAGGCAAGTGCTCTACTACTGAGCCACCTTCCCAGCCCCTGAAAATACAAGTATTTGGAAACGGAGAAAATCATTAGGGAAGACCAACTTGATGTGATAGTGTAGCGCAGGAGATCGAAGAGATTATGAAGTGGCTCTGCCATTTAGTGAATGACATGTGTCCACCAGTTAGCCTGTGTGGACACCCATCTGTTTTGGCTTCATTTGGATTTGGGGGACAGGATCCTATTATGTAGCCTAAGTTGATCTAGCATTTGAGTTCTTCCTGCCTTAACTTCCTAAGCACTGCAATTGCAGTTATGTACTACCTAGCCCCTTATAAGCCTTAAGGGTTCAGACACTATATCCCACTACAGAAGCTGAAAGAATGTGCTCTTGCCCAGACTACTTTCCATCTAAGTCTTGGGATCTTAAGATAGTTTCTACCAATCAGCAAAAGCTGCTGGGACTTTTAATTAGAGGCTAATACTAGATTAAAGAGGATTTTAGAAGTAGCAAGGTATAAGCTATATCACCAAGTATTTGATCATAGCTAGCAATGACCCAATTTCATGACACAGTTTGAATCACTTTTTCTGTCTATGCAGATCCCCAGACAGGATTTCTAGTCCAACTGGATTTCTGCAAACAACACTATATTCTAATCAGCTAGTGATGGTTCTTGTAACTTTTGACAAAGAATTCTAATGTAGTGCCTCAAACTCATCTGGAAAGTGGAGATAACCATTTCTTCTTTACAAAGCTATAAAGATTAAATGACCAAAGCTATCTTATTTTGTACTTAGAATACAGGAAAAACTCACTTAATATTGTATGTGTACAGGATACAGAGTAGTCAAACACACGCACATACATACATCCCACACACATACACCCCACACACATCACACCTTGCCTCACAATACCATGCTCTAGCTTCAAGAAGCAAAAACAAAGGAGTTCTTCAGAAGATTCACTATTATCTGTATAGAACTGGATGCTCACCAACTTGATTCCACAATGACAGGAACTAAGTCCAGTCTACCCATCAACTGTAATGCTTGGCAGTATGCCTTTGCCTAGTAGGTACACAATATTTACCAAATGGACTACTGTACCCACTTTTTGATCCTTTAACTCTTTTCATACACAGTAACATTACAGACCTTTCAACTGTTCACTACCACTGTTAAGACACTCCACCTTTTAACACTTAATTAAAAACAAAAAAACTTTTTAGGGTATGTGTCTAATGTTTCATGGAGCTTAGTTTAAAAAAGAGAATAAGCACAAAAAATCCAGTTACAAAGATTCAAATATTTGGTTCAAAATTACCATCTGGAGTACCTCCATTCTCTCGCGAAGCAGACACTAGCCTGCAGCAAATCTTTGCGATAACAATTTGTCGGTCTGCTCTAGAGGAAAAAAAATCCCAGCCACAAGTCCCCAGCAGCTACTTAATCAACACCATGACTTTAAAAGGGGTCTCAAGATTGCACAGCTTCCTCCAGCAAGTGATTTCTTGATGTTCACAGATGGAGTACAGTTTTTAGGGTGAAGAAAGGGCTTAGTGGCAAATCACTGACAGAGGACTGCCAAGACTTCACATACTCACATCCTGCAGCCCATTTGTAATCCAGGCTAGTCAACTCTCCAAAAGAAATTGCCTTAAAAAATGGAAGGCTAAAGAACAAATTGAAATCTGTGATTTACAACTAGTTGAATGCAAAGGAAGCTGATTAGAAAGCAAGTGCTCATTAATGGTGATGCATTTTGAGTGACAGGAACTAGGGCTAAGAAAAAGGAAGCATCTGATTTTTACGTTAGAAGTTCACTGAATCAGGAAAGTTCAAAAATCAGAAATCAGACAAAGCCATTTGCATTTTTTATTCTATTTCTGGAAGTAAAGGATTATCCTTGACAAACCGATAGACAGGGCATCGGAAATGCTGCTGATCTAACGCTATTTTTTCTTTAAGAAACTTCACCCAAAACGACCAGATTTAAACATGTTTAATACGCAGCACTTAAAGAATTTCCAAAAAATAATTTGGGGAAAAGTGCTTAATAAATAAATGAAGTACAAAAAAAAAGCCATTACTTAAAAGAGATAAAATTCATCTGTATCTAGTGACAACAGTTCGTTTTTTACCGGCGTGTTACAATGTATAGCCATTTCCCCGGAAGTTCCTAGAAAGGAAGCCTCACAGATACGGTTCTAGCCCTCAAGCAGATACCTGAGGTGAAAGCTGTGACATTCTTTAGGTCTGGTCTGGAGAATGACTCACCTAGACCAGTTTTCATGAAGTTGTGTCCAGCACGTGGGTGCGACTCACCAAAGGAAATAAAGGTAAGCGAATGTGGAAACAGTCTCAGCAGCAAGGCGATCCTCGGGTTCGCAAAGAGCAAACGCCAAGCAAAGAAGCCCTATCAGATGCCCTAAGTGTCCCTGCTCAACACCATCAAGGTCAGCGCCCAACAGACCATCGGGCAATTCGGACACGCGCCTCCCGCAGAAAAAAAAGACAACGGAGACCCTCCACCACCCGCAGCTATGCCATGGTCCCCACACTCCCAACCCGCTTCGCTGAGCGTGGAGTTGGTCCTCACCACTTGGCTCCACATCACCGTCGTCACCATACACTGGAGCCATGGTCAAGGAGTCTCCTAATTCCGCGCCAACCTGCCTGAAACTGGCGCGGGGGCAGAGATAGGCGCCAGCCCGAAAACCAATCAGCAGCTTCGGGACGCTGCAGACTTCCGCCCGGAAGGCCACTGACGTGCCGCGCCGTACTACGCCCCGCCCCTGGCCTTCCCGCGGGCGCGCATTTGGCGCCCTGTGATGACCCTTGAGGGAAAAACTAAAAGTATGGGCAGGCCAGAGAAGAGCTGGTGAAGAAGGCGGTCGGGCTCTGAAAAGGATCTTCCTGGGCACTCTGCGCAGGCGCACGTACACTATTAGAAAACACTAGGGTGCGTGGAAGTGGGGCTCTCTGGTTCTGAGAAGTGATTTCCCAGAAAAAGACGCGCGGGCGGGCAGAAAGGCGGGTGGGGCTTGCAATCTCTCACCTTCCCCCAACGTGGAAACGTGACTGCCTACTGGTTTGCACCCTTGAGTTTTGCCCAACACTATTCCTCTCAATGTGAGCAGTCTGTGTGATTAGATGTGATTCTAAATGTGTGTATATACATATAGGGAAGCACTTAAAAGTTTTTGCACCATCTTAACCAAATAACCCAAAGTAGAATCACCAGTAAGCCCTAATCGGACCTCAAGTACCTACTGATGTGATACGCTTGAAAAAGGAGTAACATCATTTATATGGTTCTTGCAACAAAACGTCTAACCTGAATCTAACCATTACAAAACAATCAAATGCTTGGCTCACACCTGTAATTCTAACTACTCAAGGGGCAGAGATCTGAGTATCATGGTTTGAAGTCAGCCTGGGCAAGAACGTCTATGAGACTCATCTCCAGTAAACTACCAAACAAGCCAAAAGTTGATCTATATGGTAGAACTACTTCCCTTGAGCAAAAGAAGCCCAGGGACAGTGCCAAGCCCTGAGTTCAAGGCTCAGGACTGGTGCAGAAAGAAAAGAAAGAGACAGAGAGAGGGAGGGAGGGAGGGAGGGAAGAAGGAAGGAAGGAAAGAAAGAAGGGAGGAAGAGAAAGAGGGAAAGAAGAGAAGAAAAAGAGAAAGAGAGAGGAAGGAAAGGAAGAGAAAGAGGGAAATACAGAAAGGAAAGAAAAAACAAAGGAAGAGAAAGAAGGAAAGAGAGGAAGGAAGGGAGGAGGGATCAGATATAGTCAAAGTGTAAGATGACCTACAAAACATCTTGCCTGGACTCCTCCAAAATGTTGATTCTGTGATATAGTGTAAACAATGTATGCATCTTATTTTATCATTTTACAAATACATATTTTGTTAAATAATGCCTACCACACATTTGTAATATTTTCCCCACATTTTTGCTCACATGCTTATTGGTACTCCCAAGCATGGCTAATTGATATTTGTTTCTTAATTTCTAATCTGCTTCTTAATTCATTTAATGTGGTGTGACAAACTTGCTCTTTAAAGTACATTTTTTTAAAGGTGGGGAGAAGGGGTGAAGAGGGTTTAGGATAGAATAAGATGAATTTAATCAAAGTACATTATATGCATTTATGGACACATCACAATTCAATCTCTTTGCACAATTATTATTTCTGTTGTTGTTGGCCGTAGATATTGAGTTCAAGGCCTGGGCACTGTCTCTGATCTTTGCACAATTAATGTACAGTAATAAAAAAGCAAAGTACAAGTACACATTGTTAGAACTTTTATAGTTTTAGTGGCTACTAAGTAGAGAGAACTATTTTGACAAGGCATTCTAATGAACCAGATCCTTTGTTTAAATCCACGCATCTGGTCATTTTCTTCATGCTAACTTATATCACTAGGCATTTCAAATCTTGTTTCTCTTTCACTCCTGCTATGGTCTGAAATTTTGTGTTATCCCCAAATTCATATGCTGAGACCTAGTCACCAATCTGGTGATATGGTAAGGACTTTGGAAGGTAAGTAGGTGATGGGGTTATCCCTCATGGGTTGAATTAGTACCCTTAGAAAAAATGCCCCCAGAAAGTTGCCTTGTCCCTTCTATGATATAAAATCACAGCAAGTAGATGCTTTCTGAGCAATCATTTTCTGATGTGAGCCTGTTTGATATAGTGCAAAAGACTTGTTTAGTGGTAAGAAAACCCTATTGTTATGATGCAGCAGTTGAGAATAGGATCCAGGTAAGAAATTCTTTTACAATGATCAGTGATCATTGCTTCTGTTTAGGTGACAATGCAAAGCAGGGTGACATTTCTGCAAGTTCAGTAACATTACTTTGCATCTCAAGTACAGAGAGTCACATTGACAGAGACAAACCGAGTGGGTCAATAAATAATAGGTACATTTCACAGAATGCCTGTCTTGCTTTATCTCTTGATAGAGTAAGTTTTGCATTACTGCTTTACAGGTGAGGTCAGGTTTGTAGTACAACTCTGGAAAGTCAAATCTCAACTGATAGATGGATATTTAAACAAGTCTAAGTGTTGCCATACTATGGAATAGCACTCAACAATAAAAAGTGACAGGGGGCTGGGAATGTGGCTTCGTGGCGGAGTGCTTTCCTAGCATGCATAGCCCTGGGTTCAATTCCTCCACAGCACATATATAAAATAAATAAAAATTTAAAATATATCCATAAAAAGAGACAAACTATCGATCTATGCAACAACATGGATAACTCTCACAGTAATTATGCTGAATGAAAAGGGGCAGATTTTCCAGCCCTACTCAAGAAAAAGTATAACCTGTATAATTACATTTATGCAAAACTCTGAAATATATAAACAAATTTCTAGTGACAGGAAACCTACCAGTGGTTGTCTGGGAATGAGCAGTAGGATGGATTGACAATGAGAAATAAGGCAACTTTGAGGGAATGAAATATGTTTATATTGACTGTGATGATAGTTTCAGAGTTATATAAATATGCCAAAGCTTATTAAATAGTTCACTTTAAGTAAAGTGCACTTTGAAAGGGAGTGTCACTTTTGACAGGGAACATTGAAATAGAAAAGTTTGTTTTTAAAGGACCCTTCACCAGACATTGAATCTTCAGGCACCTTGATCTGGGACTTCCCAGCCTCTAGAACTGGGAAAAATAAATTTCTCTTGTTTATATGCCAGTCCATTTATGAACAAACTAAGACCATTGACCATCCTGTGTGGACTAGGACCTATATAGCCTATATATATATATACACATATATTGTATATATGTGTATATATTGCATATATAGGCTATATATATTACACATTCAGATGACTACTTCTGAAGGTGGTACAGACCTATAATCCTAGTCCTGAAAAGACTGAGGCAAGAAGGTTGCAAGTTTGAACCCAGTCTGGACTGGCAAGCAAGACTGTGTTTCAAAAAACATTTTTAAAAAAGCAGAACCAAAGTTTAATTATATGACAGCAAAAGATAAAATAACTGGGAAGCTACCAAACATGCAGATATTTCATAAAGAGAAAACAGCACAAGATAAAACACATAGTTGCAACAATATACTAAAAAGTTCTATACATGGGCATCTCTTGAGTCCTGTCTCCGGATTGGAGAGATTTTACTACTTTCTTTCACCACTTTTCTTTTACTTTCTTTTCTTTTACTTTCAACTAAATGATCTCTTATTCCATTTTTTTAAAAAATCCTTCTATACATGAAATCCATATACAACAATGTATATTTTGCTAGAATGATACAGTAAATTATTTTTGTTTATAATTTGTTCCCTTTAAAGTTGTATTAGAAATATTAAAGCTTAATTCTCGGTAAGCCTCTGTTACCAATACAAATGACAGTCTGGCAGTATCTCTATGGTGTGGGCTTAGGAAATTGAAATTATTTTTAGTTTAAGTAGTCATCACTAGGTACTTCACCATATTATTCTTCATGTTCCTTCAACAGTAAAGACAACATATTTTATTTCCCTTAGTCCATGACTACTTAGTGAGAATCTTGCCCAGAAATTAATAGTTCAGACTGTTTGATTTATAACTGTCTGCTTTAAAAGATCATCTTGGAAAAACAAAACAGAGGAAAATGTCAAAAGTGGGAGCTGGATTGAATGCTCCCTAGATCAAGTACTATTTGTGAGGTAAATCTGCTGAAAAATTATGTGTGTGTGTGTGTGTGTGTGTGTGTGTACAAATCTTAGAAAAAGGTATAAATAGAAGGTTATATAGCATAGGTCTAAATATTTAAAACTTTGAAAAAATGCTAACAAATTTTATGCATACATATATATATATATATATATATATATTCCATTTTTGTAACTCAGCAAATACACCTTATAAAGGACCAAAGAAGCCAAGTAGCTTGGAATTCCTTGCATGAAAAGCGGGGAACTGGAGCCAAAATTCCTTCTCTGTTCTATACCACAGTGTGGAAGTAGCCTAGACATCCAGGATTTTATTCAGTCATCCCAAAAAGTCCATGGTCATCTACCTTTTGTGTGTGAGAATATGCAACCTGCTGCAGTGAAGTTAGACCAGGGAGGTGGCTCAAAGAGGCCAAGCTGATCCTGGGAAACAAGCTCAAGAATTTGGGTAGGCAACTCCAGAATGTTCTAGAAGGGGCATAGTAATCTCCAGAGCTGCATTTCATCCCCTTGGCCTCATGGACTCCTGAGAGGATGAGAGCCAAAGCAGGATCCTTCAACATGGAACCCATGGCAATAATCCAGGATACTCCCTACCCACTAGTGAGGCTCTGGGAAGGCAAATAGAATGCTGCTGAGAAAATCAATGCAAAAAGGGGGTGGTTCACCAGCTCTGGAGCAGAGGTCTAGTTCACCAGCCCTCCAAGTGCAGAGAGGATACCTATCCCTCAGATTCTGTGTGTATCTCCTGTCATGGGCTGACAATTTGTGTTCCCAATTCCCTTTCTCTGAGAGTCAAGGACCACAAAGACCCCTGCAGATGGGGAGGATATGCAAGCCTCAGCACATGGGGCTGCTCAGCCCAGAGAGGACACCTTTCTAAAATTCACACAATGTGCCTTACACAGATAGCCACAGTGTGGCTATTGATCTCCACAGACTAGTATACTATCAGAGGTTTGGAATACACCTGGTGGTAGATGAC